ACACTGCGCGTATTCAGGCTGTTGCTGCTGCTGTTGGTCCCGGGTGCTGCAGCTGCTGATCCAGCAGCAGGGCGTTGCTCGTCCTTTGAAGGCCTCCGCTGGAATATACCGCCGCCAGCAGACGCAGGGGGCCCCCAACGGGGGGCCCCCCTGCTCCCGCGCCAGTCATCTCGGCCCCCTCCGCCTCGGTGGCCGTGGTGTTGCTGCTGCTGCTGCTGCTGCTGCTGCTGCTGCGGTGGTGGCGGCGGCGGTGGCACCTGCTGTTGCTGTTGCTGCTGCGGCAGTGGCGGCTGGTGCTGTTGCTGCTGCTGCTGCTGCTGCTGCTGCTTGGGAAGATGCTGCTGCTGCTGCAGCTGCGGCTGCCTCGCCCCGTTAGGTGGCTCCTCAGAGGGCCCCTGCTGTGCTGCGCCCCCTTCGGCCAGCTGCTGCTGCTGCGGCTGCTGCTGCTGCGGCTGCTGCTGCTCCTGCTGCTGCGCTCCGCAGCCATCAGCCGGCCCCTCAGCTCTAGTCTGCCACGCCTGAAATAGCAGCAGCAGAAGCAGCAACAGCAGCAGCAACAGCAGCATGAGCAGCAGCAGAAAAAAAAGGGGGGGTGTGTGTGCAGCATCGGCAGCACGTCTAGCAACATCTACTCTAGACAGCAGCAGACGCTGCTGCTGCTGCTGCTGCTGCTGCTGCTGCTGCATCTATCTGTGTTTCTGTTTGTTTATGTGGGGCGCCAGCACGCAGCTCACCTGTCTAGGCTTTGTCTTCCTCCCCTGCTGCTGCTGCTGCTGCTGCTGCTGCTCCTCCTCATCCCCTTCCTGCTGCTTTGCTGCTCGCGCTGGGAACAGCTGAGAGGCTAGGGGCCCCGCCCGCAGCGCCCCTGCTGCTGCAGCACCAGAAGACCCTGCTTGCTTCTGCTGCTGCTGCTGCTGCTGCTGCTGCTGCTGCTGCTGCTGCTCTCCCGGTCCTGCTGCTGCTTCGCCGGACCCAGACACCGCACACACTTCCCTTACTTGCGGTCTGCTGCGCTGCTGCTGGGCCCCCCCCAGGCTCCCCCTGCTGCTGCTGCTGCTGCTGCTGCTGCTGCTCTTTCCTGCTGTATCACCTGCTGCATCTGCAGTACTGCTGCTGCTGCTGCTGGTGTTGCTGCTGCTGCTGCTGCTGTTGATGCCGCTGGCGCTGTCCTGGCCCCCTCTCCAGCCTCTGCGTAGAGGCGATGCTGCTTCTTGCTGCTGCGGTGCAGCAGCAGCAGCAGCAGCAGAAAGGCGGGGCCCCCAAGCCGACCCCGGCCGCCGTTCAGCTGCTGCTGGCGAGTCAGCTGCTGCTGCAGCAGGAGGGGGGGGCTTTAGCGGCAACCCCTCTGCTGCTGCTGCTGCTGCTGCTGAGGGGTGAGGCTTCAAGGAGAGAGAGGCTCGCTGCTGCTGCTGTTGCAGAAGCAAAGACACACACAAACGCCACAAACACCCTCAGCAGCAGCAGCAGCAGCAGCAGCAGCAGCAGAAAACAAAGAACGCAGCAAGACCAGCAGCAACTAACAAGCAGCAACCTATATATAACTGCAGCAACAACAGCAGACGCTCCTGCTGCTGCTGTTTCTGTACATACCTCCTGAGATGATATGAGAGGAAGACCCTCCCTGGGCTTCGCCCCACAAAGGGGGTCTTGCCGGCGTCTTTGTTTATCTGGTGAGTTTTGTCTTTGCTGCTGCTGCTGCTGCTGCTGCTGCTGCTGCTGCTGCTGCTGCTGCTGTGTCTGCTGCACATTACTTCTCCATCGCATCTGCTGCTGCTGCGGCGGCATCTGCTGCGGCATCTGCATCTGCTGCATCTGCTGCTGCTGCTGCTGCTGCTGCTGCTGCTGCTGCTGTTGCTGCTGTTGCGGCGGCGGCGGCGGCGGCGGCGGCACCGGCAGCTTCGCCGCATGCAGCCCCAAACCCTTCCCCGCGCCCTCGCGGCTCTCCCGCAGCCGCTGCAGCACAGCAGCCTCATCCCGTGGCTTTGCTTCACCGAAGATTGCTGGGTTCAGCTTCAGACTGAAACACACACAAACCCTAAACCCTAAACCCTAAACCCTAAACCCTAAACCCTAAACACTAAACACTAAACCCTCAACACTAAACACTAAACCCTAAACCGTAAAGGCTAAACCCTAAACCCTAAACACTAAACCCTAAACCCTAAACAATAAGCGGTAGATGATAAAGGCTATAATACGGCCCCTCTTACTATAAATAGCAAACCCTAAACCCTACTAAACCCTAAACCCTAAACCCTAAACCCTAAATGTTCTTACCCTTGTGGCTTCAGCTGCTCCTTTAGGAGGTCCTTGGGGTTGACAAGCGGCGGCGCAGGGGCTGTTCCATTGGTGCTGCTGCTGCTGCTGCTGCTGCTGCTGCTGCTGCTGGGGGTAGCTTGTTCTTGCTGCTGCTCCTTGCTGCTTCCTGGTGCAGCAGCAGCAGCAGCAGCAGCAGGGGTGTTTGCTGCTGCATCTGCAGCTCTACCCTTCTTTCTCCACTTGTTGTCAATGTTGCCTGAGCGGGGGCCCCCCTGGGGGCCCCCCCCACCTGAGGGGCCCCTGTTGAGGGGTGATCCTCCTGCTGCTGCTGCTGCTGCAGCGGGGCCCCGTCGGTGGCCGTCAGCAGCAGAAGCAGCAGTAGGTGAGCCTGCTGCAGCAGCAGCAGATGAGGGGCCCCCTAGGCCCCCAGAACGAAACTTAGAGAAACAAGCATCGATACTATCAGGGGGGGGCAGCTGTACCTTCAGTATGAGGGGGCCCCTGGGGGCCCCTCTGTCTCCTCGGGGGCCCCCCCCCATGCCGCCGCTCTTGCGGGGCAGGGGCCTCCCGTTCATCGCCAGTGCAGCACAGAGGGCCTCGTGAGAGACAAAGGTCACCTCAGCTGTACATACACCGCAGCAGCAGCAGCAGCAGCAGCAGCAGCAGCAGCAGCAAAAGAAAATGTACGGGATTGCACACCAATAGAAGAGATAGGGAAAGAGAAAAAAATAAAAAGAGAGACAAAGGAGACAGAAAGAAAAACAGAGACAGAAAAAAAGATAAAGAAAAAAAGGCTTACCGCATAATATATCTATATAAATATAAATATAAATATAAATATAAATATAAATATAAATTTAAATATAGATATAAATATGAATATAAATATAAATATAAATATAAATATAAATATAAATATAAATATAAATATAAATATAAACATAAACATAAATATAAACATTAAACACAAATATAAGTGTAAATATAAATATAAATATAAATATAAACATAAACATAAATATAAATATAAAATAT